TCAGAAAGAGGTGTGATGTATTGCGAGACTCCAAAATAGTTGATCGAGATTTCCAGTTAGAAGCTTTTAGTTCTAAATAAAAAAAAAACAAAAAAAAAAAACAGTAAAACAATCTTTTCTCAGACAATATACAGAACCATATGCTAGCCATAAAGTTGTGAATGAAGGTTTTTGAAAATATCTGGAGAATGACAGCATGGATACTTGAGGGGACAAGTGTTTTAATTTCAGGTATCTCGGCATGATATTAATAAACAATAAGTTACCGGATGTGTCTTTGAAAAAAATACCTAGGATAGGACAATTGGTTATAGCAATGTTAAAATATATCAATAATTATCACAGGTCTTTATCTCGCCTTAGCCCACAGCGACAACACATACTTCGAAAACAATTGAAACCCCACTAAAGTATGGTGGTAAGCCTTCTGGGCACATCTGGTTGGAAGAGCCATATTTTTTTCCCCCACTGGGTTTAATAATAATACAGTTGATAACGAAACAATGGGATCTTGTAGAGTCTCGCTTTAGCTTTTACCAAGAGATTGAAATTGGTTTTCTTTTCACAAACATTCATCATGAGAATGAAGTTACGTTTGGATGTTTATATGTTTAATATTGTATTAATATATTTGAGAAGGAGTTAGTCGGAGGTATGATAAATTTTTTTTTTCTATTTTGTCTGCCCAAGATCCCCACTGAAGTCCTATACTGATGGTTAAATTAAATATTTTCTTAGCCCTGATGAAGGGCTGAACTTCAGGTCGAAACGTCGGCAAATTTTAAAATAAATATTATTATTTATTTTGCCTTCTTATTTCTGACTGATCACCCTAACCACCATTCTCTTCATTATTCACGACAGTCAACCATTAACCCACAATTATAAATATTATATACTAAAATTGTATTTTACTGGTTTCGCCGATGTTCCGACCCACTTAGTAGGTCTTCATCAGAGCAACAAAATATACAATATATAAAAGGTACAAAGTAAAAATAAAATCAATGAATTCTTAGTAGATATTACATAAGTAACAGTTTTTCTGATAAAGAAATAATATGATGACATCAGTGACTTTGTGAGTTATAACATGGTTAAAATATAAAATATTATATATATATATATATATATATATATATATATATATATATATATATATATATATATATATATATATATATATATCTGTTAAAATGTAAACAGATTGTGATAAAATAGAATATCATCGGAAAACAAATTAGTGACGGTTACACTTGATAACTGGTTATACTTGATAACTTATATTTTAACTACACTTTTTATACTTCAACCCACTACATCACTGATGCCTATATCAGACAACTGTTATTTATTTAATATCTAATAATGATTCATTTATTTTATTTTTACTTTGTACTTGTATATGTATGTATGTGTTTTTTTTATTTATTTATTTTTAGGTTATTTTATACTAATTTATTGTATATATATTATTTTTCTGTACAATTGTTTTTATTGTACATACAGTGTGAATGTGATCTCTCAACACTATTATAAATATCCTTTGAGACACATTGTAATATTTTCAATAAACAAAAAAAAAAAAAAAAATATATATATATATATATATATATATATATATATATATATATATATATATATATATATTTACAACTTTTCCTTCATCGACCTTTGAGTATTAAATTCAAACTTCACTATTTTATTGGGAATAAGGTCACTTAATATTAAGTGACCTTATTCCCAATAAAATAGTGAAGTTTGTATATATATATATATATATATATATATATATATATATATATATATATATATATATATATATATATATATATATATATATATATATCTTTGTACCTTTTATATTTTGTATCTCTTGTAGCCCTGATGAAGACCTACAAATTGGGTGGAAACGTCAGCATAACATAAACTACTAACATAAAATACTATTGTAGTATATAGTATTTGATATATAGAACTTGATCGATCCCCCGACCGACTCCTTCTCAAATTATAATCACGGTCAATCATTTCCACAACATTTTGAAATTATATAATTTTAATTATTAGATGAAGCCTAGTAATATTTATCAATAAAGAAGTTTTCGAAAACTAAAGTTTAACCTAGGTTTTCATTTAAAGGTTATCTAACAGTTTCATTTAGCTCGATATATCTTTGAGAAATTCAAACTAACAGAAATAATTAATTAAATTACTGTTTAACAGTTTGTAAAATATTTGTAAAAGCCAAGACTTGACTTGATACAAATACTCCAGAATGGAATTCGTTTAAAAAGTTTTACTGACCTTAGGCACGGAACCTTGTCAATGGAGTTGATTTAATTCTAGATTGGGTTCCCGTTATTCTATCAATTACCTGAAACAAAAAAGGTCAAATTAATTATGAAATGAACAAAATCGTAACAATTGCAGCTATAATTAACCATAATAAATAACGGATGTGATAACAAACTTTGGTACCATTCATTTAATATTCATTAGTAATAAATAATAAGTAATCCACGTACGTCATTTACGTTTTGTCTGTTTAAATATTGTATACTGTAGAATGTCCATTGTCTCGCCCAATATTTTAATTGGTATATTTCGAAATGAACTGATTAGCGGCGATGAATTTAAAAATAAAACAACTAATTAAATTATATAATTTTTTAACTGTCATACGCTCAGTATTAGGTTACTTAGTTCTATATATTAAACTGTACGAATAAAATACAATAAGTAAAATCTCTTTAATGGACAGATGCCGTACTTACGTTAATTTTTGTAAAAAATCCTGAGATTTCATAAATGCTTTAGTTAACGGTCAGAAAAATAGTCCTCCATGAAAATTAAGTATTTTGCAATTTTTTTTTTTATTTCAATAGAAATTCTTAGTTTGAAAGCATTATAAAAACAAATCTAACTTGCGTTTTTATAAAAAAAGGAAAAAATGCTTAGTCTAATTTACTGAAAGTGGTTTTTGTAGTTTATTATGCATTATAACTGATTTAATACTTTTAATTTAATCAAAAATCTTAATAAGCAAAAATAAATCGATTGGTGTATAATAACAAAGAAATTCGGGAAAACAAAGATAAAATTACTTAATCAAATAAAATCAAAAATCAATTTATTCACAATAAGTATATACAACACAATAAGTCCTAATTATGGTTACATGCTTATGACAACATATTACACATTCTATAATAAAATATTTTGATTGCTATTTTTTTGGCTGAAATATATTTTGTACACTAGGAAAAAAAAATCTACATAAGTTATAAAAAGGAATAAATATCATGAAAAACATGTACTGACATTAAAATCTATAAATGAGATAAAAGACAGTCACATGTTTTATATCTTATAAATTGTTATTTAATAATTGGTGTGGGAGGTATGTTTCTGCTTTCTTATCAATATTTTGTAATGTTATGAAATTGGGTTTTGTCAGGTTCGTGTTTTGTCCGTTTGTGTATGTACCGTTTCAGTGATTTCTTGTCATAGTTTCCTATGGTGTGGATCTTGGGATTATCAGATGTAGTTAGTTATAAGCACAAAGAATCTTCGTGTTTTAAGATAAATGTGTTGTTTTATTGTTGGAAGCTGCAATTCTGTTAACACGGTGGCTATTTTTGTATATCGTGGGTATTTGTTTATGATTCGCATTCATGTGTTTTGAATAACTTCTATTTTTCTTTAGTTAGACTAACAAGTATAACTCCATAGTGGAGAAGAATATGTGATTATAGAGCGGATAACTGCTTTGTATAGAAATAATTTATTTTTTGGGAGTATCTATTGAAATACGAGGACATTTTGCTAATAATGTTTTTTGCTACATTGCATTTGTTGTTTACATGCTGGGTGAAATTTAGGGACTTATCAAGTTCAAAGCCTAAATATTTCACAGAATTGGACCATGGGATCTGTTAATATGAGTATATTATGAGTTATACTTGGTCTTCTTTTTGTGAAAATTATTTTTCTGTTTTTTTTTTGTTCGTTTAATTTTATAAATGACTTAAATATTTTGACGAATAAGCCTGGGATACGTGTCTAATATTTTTTGCCGTATTATCAAAACCACAAAAAGACCACACGATAGAAGCGAAGACATGAACAGCGCAAGTTTAATAATATGAAATATAAATTATAAATAATAGCTCATTATAAATAGAATGGAATGCTGAAATGCCTCGCTTACAGTATTATGGTCCGATTTTTAGTTGCTGAGATTTTTAATTCATATCTTCCATTAAACTCGTTATAATTCGGTTTTCGTTAATATTTTTTCCTGTTCGCCTCCCTAACACGGCGTCGCGTTTAGATACAATTTTTAATAAGACCCCGTCACATGAGAGCATGAAATGATGAACATTTCCCTCGCTAACAATGAGTAGGTATGATTTTTAGTTTTTGTGATATTTTAATCCGTATGCAAAAATATTCTAATTATTCGAATCCAGCCGACTTTATCCGTGCGTTACATATCAGAAATCTGACCAATGTAATTCACTTTCCACAAAAAAGTGCAAAACGCGCATTGAGATATTTTCAATTAAAAAAAATCTTTGAAATCGGTGACCCACTGACTGTGGTATCCAATTGTTAGTAAAATATTCATGATATTTATGGAGTATATATATATATATATATATATATTATATATATATATATATATATATATATATATATATATATATATATATATATATATATATAGAGAGAGAGAGCCTTGACGATTTTTTTTTTCGCATTGTTGTATAGAGTAATCTAGTAAAGACGTATGATGATTCCAGATCTAACGATGCGCTAAAATATCATTAATTATACATACTCAATCCTTATCCAGTTCCAGTCATCCCTACAATCCTCCTCGAAGGTTGAAGCGGCAGTGGCCTCGAGATCTTTTGTAAAGACGTCATTGGAGTCCTGGCAATGACCAGCTTCTCCACTCAAGTCATGAGCGTATGTGGCTTTAGTACCCTCTCTCAGTCTCCACTGGATTCCCATCCTAGTGATGCGGCTGAGAGAGAAGCGCTGGGATCTCTTGGAGTCTTGCCTTGTCCTCCACACGTGGGGGAAAAGGCCCGACTCGGAGCTCCCTCGGCTGACTGTAAATATTGTAAATAAGTTTGAATGTGTTTTTATTTATTATTATTTTTTATTTATTTTAGTTTTTATCTAATGTTGTATCATGTTTAATTTATTTTGTTACTCCAAGTTTTATTTTATCTTATTTTCTTCTAATCTTGTTGTTCTTTTATTGTATATATGGTATGATTGTACTTCATTGATCATAAATACTCAATGCCCTTATTTCAGGCAAAATGTATTTTTTTTCTCAATAAAAATTGTTCAAAATTCAATTATACATACTGACAATATATATATCTTATTTATTAACAATAAGCATGTATTGTTAGAAAATAACAATTAAGACCAAACTGAAAGCTAAATCAAAATAATCGAAGGGTATTAAGACTAAGACTGGGACAGAATATTAAGAGTGTCACGCTATCTGATAATGGATAAGGTCACTGGAAGAGAAATCATTAAGGTCTTTCTGATCGATGGCTACTAGGCGCCTCGCTATAAAGCTCTCGCTACTTCCAGGGAGTTTCTTAATTCACCAGGTGTGTTTTTGTCTTCAGTTAATCTTCATCGATGGATTTTCGCAAGGTGATTTTAAGGGAGTTTCTTGTCATTATATTATGGGGTTAGAGATGAAATTGATTTGATCTTTTTTTTTTAAAAATATATAATGGTGATCAAAATTCTACAATTTTCTGTTTTGTTCTAGCAAACAAAAAACATCGAAGAAAAAGGTTAACCAAATCAAACCATTTTAGGCAAAGATGAAGTCAATTGTAATTTGTATTTGTGTTTTCTATTATTTTGAATGAAAATTGATTCCTACCACTCATAATACATATCATTTACTTATCTTCATATTATCTTGTCATTTGTTCACTGACATACTTTCACCCATGCTAAAGGAATGTTACGCTGACATTCTCCAACGAAACGAAGCATCTAATTTCATTGTATGAAATCGTAAATAAATTGAAGTTAAATTTCGATATAAGATCACTAAAAGGAATGCTTAGAGGTAATGTACTTGAAACCACTACATAAAGTAATAACAAGAAGGTGGATAAGGAACAGGCAGTATTTACTTCAAAACAGTAAAGATCCAACGCATTCATGTCGAACGCCCATCGGGCTTGAACACTTTGGTCACGGAAAGTCAGATACGCAGGATAGTGTACCTGGAGTCCAGGTCAGCAATCAAAGATAAAGAACGACCTTTAAAGAACAACTGTTCGTAAAAGTAATCGTATGATGTAAAAAATATCAAGATGTTTCGCTATAAAATTAGGCTATAAAAACTGTCTAACTGTGGATATTAAAACGGCGGTTAACTTTTCTTACAATGCCAGGATGAAAACAAAAATGTTGTAGACATGAGATCTCATACAGCGCCTTTAAGAAATTTAATAATGCGTTCTATACCTCCTACATTGCTGATTATCAATTATTTCCTTGATGGGCTCATATTAATATTTATAATACAAAAAATAAAAATAAAAACAATCTCTAAGAGAAATTTAGAATATTAATCCTGTTTTATTTTACTATTATTAATAGTAATACTGTTGGGGCCGGGGGTTTTCAAAATTAATATTTCAAAATTAAAACACAAACCCTTTCCCGCTGAGGTCCCTCAATGTTGATAAAATTCGAGAAAAATTAAATTTTGGGAAAGAAGGAGAAAAAAATTATAGATTAAAATGAGACCTGTAAAACATGAAAAATGCATGCACAAGAAAATATTAAAAAATATTTCAATACATAAAAAATGGAAAATAAAAAATCCCCTTTTGAACGTTTACAATTTACTGAATAAAAAGGATCTAATTATGTACAAGAGTTAAAATAAATATTGGTGTAAAGTTGCGAGAGAAATAAAACATAAATATAATATATAGAGAAAATAAAAACAAATTAACATTAGGGAAAACATATATAAATAAACCCAACTTCTAAAATTGTAAACAAAATTAAGAGAAAGAAAAATAACTGTCCAAAATAACAAAACTAATTTATTGAGAGAACTGAAAACTAACTAAATGTTCAAATGTCTTGGTGAGAATAAAAAACAAAAATACGAGCCAGGTTGGAGATTCTGCTTCCAACCCGGTGGTTACCTTCTACGATGTTTCACAGTCGATGGTGAGAAAGTATCGAATCGATATCTTATCGATATCGATCGACGACTGCGGATGCGCCGAACAGCTGATCTTTGAAAATGGTTCTAGGTGAGATGTGGTGAGTCTGGACTGGTGGGGGTAGACGTCTTCACATAGACCTGATGTTGACAAAGGCTAGCTCCAGACTGGCTTTCCGGCAGTATTTTGATGTCAAAATCCCTAAGACAGAGTATTACTGCCGGGCTGGTGTGTATATACAACTGCGATAATACATCGCGAATAATATCAAGCATATAAATAATATACACAAAATACATTTCAGGGAAAAATATCCCTCGGCCTATTACAAAAAAAATAATAAACATTTATCCCATTATTCACATTAAAAAGGGGTTAATGGGGGGAAAAAAAAATGAAAGGAAAATAAAATACGTAAATTCGGGCGTTAACAAATACTATTAACCAAATAACTGATTAATAGTATTACCTACTAGTTATACGTATTTTTGATTTATTTTAGTATTAATATTATTCACAAATATCCTCTGCATACAATAAGTTATTATTGGAAGCCAATAACCAGAAGGAAAGGGACCAGTGGTCCTAGCAAACAAAAACTCGCCCTTAGCGAGGCAGTGGGTGGACCTGCCAACCTTCTTGACAAGCCCTTATTATTTTTAGGTAGCCGCTATACTTCTCATTACGTTACAATATCTTCTTCTTCTTCTTTTCGTTTCTCCATATTTCTTTGGGTGTGGTGAAACCTCGATCCATCTGATCCATTTTTGGTTGTCTCATTTGAGCAAGACTTAACCCCTTTTTTTCTTCTAGCTTGTAGACATATACACTATTTGAAATCCTGGGTATTCCTTGCGATATCTTGCCTGAAGGTCTAGCCTCCAGCTTCTTCAGTTGATCTTGGTCCTGAACAATAGCACCTTATGTTATGTTAGATGTCTTTTAATGCAGGTTAGCCTAATTCTTCTCATATCCTTTCATTCCTAGCACAATGTCTCCTCCTTTTATCTGCTACTCTGCGTAGGTATTTCACCTCAAATGCGGTAATTCGGCTGATATTTTTGTCACTTTTAACCCAATTGTCACTACTGTACATAAGGATAGTGAGAAAAATTACTTTAGAAATATGAAGTTTGACTTGGTTACTCAGTTCTAATTTTATCGTGGAATTTAGTATTTCTGAGAATTTCCATTCATAAAAAAAACCTACAGGTTATCATAAAATGAAGTCACTCTAGATGTTCCTGAAGAGTGTTAATAATTTGATAAAAAAGGATGTGTACAATTAATTCCCAAAGCTTTTCATAAACTAGAAAATATATATTGACAAGAAATGTCTAAATCCAGTTTAAAAATGGGTTGAACCTCGTTTATTTATTTTTTTTATAATAGGTTGAGCCGATTTCGAAACCATTTGTTTAAGTAATCAATGTAATTCTATGTAAAGAACACTCTGAAAATATTCAGGTACATAAACCGTTCGCTAACCAAACAAGGAAAAGATATGGCACTTTCCTCATACTTATGTAAATTTAATATAAAAATTGAAAAAGATTGTTTTCAAAATGAGAATGTATATATTTATTAAAATTTGGTGTTGGTTAATTTTATTAATCAATTTAATGAGATGCTAAAATTCATGCATACTCATTTGTTTGCACCATAAGATATATTCGATTATAAAATCGAGAAAAAAAGGTGTCCTACAAAAATATTGGCCTTGTTATTTTGACTGATTGGAGTGTCACAAAACGGGCCAATATTTTTGTATGCTATCTTTTTTTCTACCTTCAAGATTTTGTGATCAAATTGTGTTGTGATTCAAATGGATACATATGGTCTAGTACCTCATTGACAAAGTTTAACGATCTTCAGATTGAAAATGTCCCCATTCCGGGAAATATTCATAAATAATAAGGTTATAGGTTGTTGACCTCAACCCTGTTGAATATGTGCAGACAAGCCTTGGAGAAACTTACCAGGAATAATAGGGTATAGCTGGCTTGAGTTCCTTTTGTCACGGTGATCTTTGAAAAGAGGAAGCAGATAAACTATAGATAACAGATAAAGAAGTGGAGATTACCCTTATTTGGTCAGGAACTGCATTAGGCATCTCCAATATATATAAACGCAAAGAAGTCCTTGAGTGGTCATGGAAGGTAGCTGGTAAATAGTGTTGCCCAAAATGTTGCACAGTGTAACAAGACCAAGACCAAGAATGTTAATAAAAAAAAAGAAAGTTTTTTGTGGATTAGAATAAACAATATACTTGTGCATCTAACTCTTGCAATTTTTCATTCGGATGCAGTTAGGTTTTCGATAACTGAAATATGTAATATCTAATTAAAAATAACTTTAATATCTCTATAAAAATAAGCTGATATGTAACTGAAAGACTGTTACGAGACTACCTAAGACCAAGACTCGTCTTGGCTTCGCAATTTGGCTACAACACTGGTAAGGTGTGGAAGCATTGCGCAGGCCTAATGCAAGCTAATCAATTCATTAAAAAACCTCACCCAATAGAAATATGTGACCTTCTTAGTCTAAACAAAAATTAACTTCTATTAGCTGACAGGAAATTAAAATAAAAAGTCTTTAAAATATCTGCGGGACAGTACAGGGCAAAACCTGCTATTTGCGCGGCAAGGCGCCAGAAACTACCCTTAGGTAGCAGGGTACGAACGTTTTGCGTAAAGTATTCTAGGTAGCGTTATAATCTTAGGATACAAGTTCATCTACATCGAATGACCTTCAGTTTTTAATTTCATTAGGAAAGTTTCTAGATGGAGGGTAAACGGAATCCATTAGTATATGTTATAAGGAGTTGGCAAAAGGGAGCAGTTGGTCCAATTGGAGGATTCGTTCATCCTTTTACCAGTACCAGTACCAATTTTAGGTCGCGATAAGATAATATCCTTCACGAAGTCTAAGATGGCTGTTAATAATTTGATTAAAATGGAGGTTTTTTTTTCTTTTTTTTTAGCTTTAATGTTTTATTCACACCTGTCATAATGGTAATGACAACCAGTGAATGTGAGATCGATTTCTGCTAAATATAATGTCATGAAAGGCATGAGGAGAATCAGTGCCCAGCGGCACCTTACTCGGCGTGATATCTACATTAGGCGAGGAGGTCCCTCATCCAGCTCCTCTTCAGTCTTTACCTGGCATATTCGTAGTGTATTAGGATATCCTTGTAAGTTGTCATGGAATCGTTTGTAATGAGTACGTATGTGTTCGTTAACAGTCGGCATATGGAGGTCAGTATGTAAGGTTATGTTGCTAACGTACCAAGGTGCTTTTGTAATCGTTCTGAATGTTTTTGCTTGAAAGATTTGAAGTTTGTTTAAGTGAGTCTTTTTAGCAGTTCCAAATATCTATGATGTGTAAGTCCAAATAGGTTTTAGTAAGTAATTGTATGTGTTCAATTTCTATCTAAGTTTTAGTGTTTAATTTTGCGAAAGAAGTGAAATCAGAATTTTTAACCGTTGATTTAACGTTTTTCGTTTCTTGATTATATATGGGTCCCACGTCATTTTTCTGTCAAATGTCAGACCAAGGCAGTGAACAGTGTCTGTCTGTGGAATCTGTGTATTGTCAAGGAAAACTGGAGGGCATGTTTCATGTCGAAGCGTAAATGTGATGTGCTGGGATTTGTCTTGATTTAGTCGGATTTTCCAAATTTTGAACCAGTCATGTAATCTTGTTAAATACTGTTGTAGGGTCTGTGAGGCGTATGTTGGATTTTTTGTGTCTTGCTAAAATTGCTGTGTCGTCTGCATATGTGGCTGTTAAAATGTTAGGACTACAAAGTATGTCATGGGTGTATGTGATATAGAGTAGTGGAGCGAGTACTGAACCTTGAGGTACTCCTGCTGAGATAGACCTGATGGATGATAGTTCTGACCTGTGTCGGACCGAGAAAAACCTATCGGAAACGAAGGATTGTAGAATTAGATAATATCTAGGTGGGAGTATTGTCTTGAGATTAAAGAGAAGACACTGGTGCCAAACTATTGTAACAATTAGCAATGAACAAACAATAAATATATATATAAATAAGTTAACAACCCAATCCTTCTAAAAATAGCCTAGTAAATGCATATAATAAATGAATAAAACATAAACAGAAGTAAACAAGCTGAAGGATAGGATAGGGCAATAAATGACAGACAATTGGTGGATGGTGAGGGGGAAGGGTAGAGGGAGGGAGAGGATGATGGATGCCGACCTGGAACTAGTGGAAGCCGTGTTCGTTCGACGGGGACTGCGCCGAGGCTAAGGCCGCCGGACAAATGGTCTGTCCAAGGGCAGCCCCGACACCCCTGACAGAGACAAGTGACTTTTACACAGGCTGGTTCAATTTCAGTCTGTACACCACCGACAACATTACATCTATACCCGTGTATTATTTTTACTTTTTTTTTATTTTTTTATTTACTGGTTATTTTAGCCAAAAATAATCTTCCCTTCACAACCTATAAGCATAATTATTAACTTATAATACGACACATGGACAAATGGTGAAGTACGGCATGAAGGACCAGAAGTAAGAAATTTAAAAATTAACTAATATATGTAAAACATAAAGGTGGTGGAATATTTCTAAGGGAATTTTGCAATTATAAAATAGGTGTAAGGATAATAGTCCACGGCACAGATCCTTTTTTATCAAATTATTAACATCCTCCTAAAACTTTGCGAATGGCTTCATCTTATCGTAACTTACAATTTTTTATCAACGAAAATTCTCTAAAATGAAGCCTTTTCTCATTTTATTAATTTCATGAGGAACTAAAAACTCAAAAATATCCATTTGCTTTAGTATGAACCGTGAGATAATTTCATCAAAAAATACATATTGGGCCATTTGACCAAAATAACCTCGTTATTATGACTTGTTGGGGGCGGAGGTCACGACAAACGGTCCAATATTTTTTTATGTTATCTTTTTTTCACGATTTTATTATCAAATTATCTTATGATTCAAATCGAAAACAAACGGGTGTTCGTGGATTTTTATTACCTAATTAAATAGATAATGTTAGCTGATCTCGAAATTGAAAACCCATTAATTCTGAAAATTATCGTTAAAAAAATGTAGGCTTATGCGGATGTTAATTTGATAAAAAAAGGTCTGTACCACGGACTGTAAGGGGAGAAGTCTAGAGGAACTGCGGTAAATACGAGGAAGAAATTGTTTTGGAATGTGTACGTTATTTATGAAAGAATATTTGTACACATGATATAGTTACAATCAGGATTTAAAATGAAATTCATTTAATCCATTTTTAATAAGTTTTTGGTCTGACTGGAATCATTACTTATGTATTTTTTTTCCTTTTATTTTGAAACTATAACTTTTTCCCTTACAACTTTTTAAGTAAATGTTTTACAGAACTTTAATTAAAAAAAAAAACTTTTATTGAAAAGTTCTGTAGATTTCATTAAAATGCCGATCTGAAATATTACTTTCATTCTTAGCTGCTCAAAAAAAAAAAAAAAAAAAAAATACCATCATAATCGAGTTCATTTGAACATAATTCGTTTGAGAGAAACTTAAATAAAAGTTTTTTTTCTTTTAATATACATTTTTTTCAGAACATAAATAAACATTTATCACATACCTAGAACTTTCTGACTACCTAACTTTTTAGACTACCTAAAAGTTTCACAGAAACTGCTAAAATGTAACATTTAAAAATGTTTCAACCCTGATTATAACTATGTTCGTGTTTTTAAAATTAGTTGTTTTTTTAGGACGCCGTTTAGAATTTTTTATCTGTTGGTATCTTCAAACCAAATTAGGATTATTTTGTTGAATCATTTTTTTTCTAATGTTATGCATAATTACCATTTTAGTAATATTGTAGTACTGTAATATCTTATTAGCCTCGGCCCATTTGTGGATAAGTCCATCCAGACCCATTCTTCGAGGTTGACCCGCGCATGACATTATGATTGGGCAACCGCGTTACTTTCGAGCCCCTCTATGCAATCATTATAACGAGCTCTTGTTCTATCTTCAAGCTTCCCTGTTGAATCACTTCCATCAGCCAGCGTGCCTTTTGATCATCTTCCAACCTGCAAACATAGCAATCCAATTCAGCTATTTCTCCTCAAGGACTTCTATAATAACTCTTACTCTCAATGTGGCACTGATCCTGTTATTCATCACGTGTGGTTTTACCGCCACCTTTCTTAAATGTCTCTTTCTCCGCAGCGGTTACTTAGCTCAAATTTTTCTTCAGAGCAAGCAAGGTCTTATCAGTAATAAAGATATGTGGAAGAATACACAGGAAACATTTCTTATTATATTCAATATTTCTTGGTGAATTCGCCCATATTTGTTTATAACTGTATTGAGATAATTATAATTATTCATCATTTCAAATATCTATTCAATATAGTTAATTGTATGCTGTTGGACTGTCCTTCTGATATTTATCACCTTACACTTATCAGGATTTATGCTATTTTTTTTTCTTTTAATTTTTGCATACCATTCATCAACAGATAGTGTTGGTCAAGTAATTGGTTTATTTAGATTACTTGTTTATTGATAAATATTACGTTCTTTCTCAATTAAGGACACTTGAATCAAGTAATACAAATATTTCTTTCAGGTGGAAATTATTAATGCAAAACAAATTGCATAACAATGAATTATTTTAAAACGAGAGGTCAGATTTTAGTAAATTCACTGTACATTAAACGACAGAATTTCGGAATAAAGTTCTTATTTTAGGGGACCAAGAAAAAGTAAAGAAATTGTTTTTCATATAATGCAGAAAACGTACTTCCGAACAACTACTTGAAAAGAGCACTCTTGAAATCATGGGAAATGAAACAGGAACAGTTGTTTGATGGTGCCTATCGGAGGAAATGGTTGGAAGAAGTCGTGGTAATGGTATTAGTCCGGGCTATCTGGAGAGGAACACTATTCTACGAACATCAGGATATCAACTGCGAGCTTCGATGGTCCCAGAAGACTACTCCTGCTGCTTCGACTTGATTCTTTTAACGCTCTGAAGAATTTATTGTGATCATAATAAGACTGAAAAATATTTATTACCAGAATAAAAAACAAGAGATATTTAAAGATTTAAAAAAATATTATAATAGTAAATAAATTATTATAGGTACCTATAGTAGCCTCATAACAAAGACGTATATCTTTATTATTTTAAAGTAGAGACAAAACTAATTCTTGAAACATAGCTTCAATTAAAACCAATTCTAATAATTCTGTTTCATAATCCAAGTTAAACATTCGTAAATGAAATCATTAGAAACGGTTTGAGTTGAACCTATAAAATTAAAAGTAACTTTTTCTCAACTTTCTAAAAATGACAAATGCTTGTATTTGATATGAGCCTACTTAAATTGTACTGTCTAACCAAATTATGGTTATACATTACACAATAAAATTTATAAAAATGATTCAAGTCAAAATCGTTGTAATGTAATTTTGAAAGACTCGAATATTTTTTTTTTTTTTCTTTATTGTAATGGAACCAATTATGTACATCAATGTCTTTAATATCAGTGTGTTTAATACAGATTAGGATTTTATAGAGTAATATATTGTCTTTTTTTCTGTTATCCCTTGCGTTACCATTATTGGAATAAGAAGTTACTCGGTTGAGGCAATAGATTGAGATTCATTCCGTAGTCCGTCGCGAAATAAATTTCAACCCGCTTAGACATGATTCGAACCTGGACTCGATCGAGAATGTTTAACGAGCCTCAACAGGCTTGGCCATCACGATGTACTGTCTCTATCTAATTGATGTTTATTTTGAGGATTTTCGACGAGAAATGTATTGTACTAGGTTTATTCGTATATCTGTCCTGACGATGCCTGCTTGAATAAGCGAAACGTTGAAAGGATAGTTTGTTTTACCTTTTTTTTTTTTCAGACGTGAGGTAGGCGTTTAAAATTTCCTATTATAAGAAAAAAAGGTATGCATCGATTTTTAAGCGAACGGCTGATTTGATTTTTAAGTTTGATTTCATTAATTACTTACAATTAGTGAGATTTTCTGAGTGTTTTGAAAGCGAAGCGACCTGAGGGTCATGCAATTGGATTGTCAGCTAACGAATTATTTTAAGTTCGTAAATTTTTTCTAGGGTTGTTTGTTCGTTTAAAAAATACTCCAACTATTAAATAAAATAAAAAAGTTAAATTTAAAAAAATTGTTAAATTTTCTAATATGTTTGTTAATTACTCCTCTTCGAGAGACTATTTTTTTTAAAATTCTACTTCATCTTTATGGATTTCATTTATATTTGTAATCCTATATATTTGTTATTAAAAGGTGTTTTTTGTCGGTACGCCATAACACCGTCAATTCTTCATAAAGTCCAATGATTTTGAAGATATTCTTCTCCTTAAGATGCGATAAATAGTCCCATCCCCTTCCCAATTTCTGGAAAAAAAGTTATGGAGGAAAAGAAAACTTTATTTGCGAATAACTAAAAAATTACACACTTTTCCTTATATTATCCATTGCACTCATAGTAATTAGAAAGATTACTAAATTACCTACAAAAAAAATATATATCGTAAAAAATGAACAATTATTAACAAAGATACAGCCACACATTAGTTTTGTATATTTAATAATGTCTCCCTCTTTAAATATATGGCATTTAGGAGCAGAATAGTCGACTACATTATTTTTCTTGGCTAATATATTAACTTATTTAGCTGATATATTATATTTTTAAAGGCATTTGTTTGTTCTTACACTTTATTATTTGGCTTATTATTTTCAATAATAAAACATTGTGATCGATCAAAAAATTCAAAAACATAACCCCCTCTCAAAATTTGAGGTTTCACGTTTCAAGACGAGCAGAATTCGAAAAACAAATAAAATTTTTTTTGACTGTCCGCCATCCGCCATCCAAGCATTTCCTCCGAGACTACTGGACCGACTTTTTTCAAACTTTGATATAAAATGTGACATTACTCTCCGCCTTTAACTTTCAAAATGGCGGCCGAAAAACCTACGTTGCTATAGACTGTAGCTCCTAAACGAATGTACAGATTTCAATGAAACTTCGCTAAAGTCATTTTCTCGACGCCCTTTAAATTTATCTGTATAACATACTTCAACGAAAAGAAGCTGGAAAAAAGTTACGAGGGATGGTAAATTTAAATTCCAAATAACTCAAAAAGTATATACTTTTTGGGGATATATGTTTTTTTTAAAGTTTATGAAATTTCCTAAAAAAAAATCGTTAAAATCGGACAATTAGGAGCAAAGATATAGTCTCCGGTTTTTTTAATGTGTTCTACTCCAAATGTATTATCCTTGGTTTGGTTTTTAAATCTTAAATGTGTTACTGAACTAATACAATTTTTTTTTTTTTTTTTTAGCATATTACTAATGATTAAAGAAAAACAGTTTAGTCCAATAATTGGAATCACCTTTTTTTTTTTTCTTTGTAACTCGGAAGGTAATGTTACTTTAGATGTATAATAATTTGGAGATAATGAACCATTGTGAAATAATTTGCAGCGTTTTTTTAATAATTTAGAAAATCCCATATTCGGGGCATTATTTTGTCTTTATTAGTTTTATTACTTTTCAATTCAGTTTAAAAACAGGTCGTAGCAAAGTAATTCGTAGAAATATTTTTGTCTATTATGTTACATGGAATATTGTAATCGACCAAGGAAAAAATATAAATTCCTTCATTCATAGTACATAGGATCTACTTATTTCCATATCCTTTTGCTATTTCTTTACTAAAAAAAATGTTTGAAAATTATTCGCACGGGCCAACTAGTAATTCATATTAGAAAATATTGATATTATTAACAATCCTTAGAATAAAGAAAATGTTATCCAAAGTATATCAATTATTATTTCTTTATATTTTTGCCATATAAAAAATAATCAACATTATATTTAAACTCAACAAAAGAAGTTATACAAGAACAAAATTTATAAAAGGCAAAGAGGTAAGGTTAGAAAACAAGTTTTTTTTTTTCTCTCTGGCGATGCTGAAAGTGTTTGAAGAAAGGCATCCAAGATAAGGGCGTAACGTTTAGGGAAATTCTGTGCTGACAGCAGCGCTATCTATTAAGCCGTGTTCCCTGTTAGTATCTTCCACATCCCCAAAGCTTCCTGTCAGTTCCATAAGCTTATGTTATATACTATAAACATGTTATGAAAATATATTTCGTTTGAACACAATTCTGAAACAGCTCAGCAACGGGTTCTCTCTGACTCTGACGAGAAATCAGAATAATGCAGGGTTTGAAACAGATAATTAAAAAAATCAAACCCGATCAAAATTTGTATTTAGCATTTTTAAAAATCATTTGATAATTTTTTTAGAGTGATTTTTATTTATGATTATAAGTGATAAAAATCATACATACCTTGATCAATATTTTCGAACATAAGTTTTATAATTAACAATAATAATAGCTTTTGAGAAATACTTATTAAAATCAGAAATTAGTTATAGTTGGAGAATAATATGGTAAACTATTAGATAAAACTGAAATATAATAATTATTACATGTTTTTTAAGAATAAATAATTATCGATTTCAAATCCTGGAATAATGTTTCTCAATATAAATATTGTCTTCCATTTTATTAGATCCCTTTATTCATCAGATTCCAATAAAGCTTGAAAAGAACTAGTTTTGAACAATAAAGTATGATGGCTAAGGCCTTTATTTGCAAAAACAACAAATCGAATTTTAACGCGTCTAACAGTGAGATTTGCTTTAAGCTGACATGATAAAAAAAAAAATACACTATACAAATATTAAGATATTTAGTAGTTTGATGTTTGTTAATATAAGTTAATTAATTTTGAATAACAGGCATTTATTATTGTATTATTATATTTTTTTATGGTAATTTTGTTTTAATATTGTGGTCAAAATATATATTTTCTATTTTATTTTTTAAAATTTATTTTTTTT